TGAGGTGCATTTGAAGAAACGGATACCTTTTTGACATGCTTGGTAAATGTCAAAATAATACTTCTGGCTTAGTTTGTAGAAGCTTAGCGTAGAAATGGGTTTCCAGAAAATTCAGATTTGAAGCTTAGGTAGCTACTTTTGAGCCTAAACTTGTTCTAATATATCTCAGTTCTTGACTATGAAATCAAAATGTACATGTAAATTTGAGGTTATTTATGTAAACTAAGTGCTGAAGGTGCTTTATAAAATAAGATATACTTGGTTAAGTGGTCATACAAAATTTTAGTAGTATCTTCTGTATAGCACAACTAAGTGACTGAACTATAAAGTGCCACAGCCCCAACGAGCGTGGATAGTTCCACAAAGTTAGTATAATTTTGTCAGAACAACATCCAAAAACAAAGTTGGTATAATTTTGTATTCAGGTTGTAGAAGTACCATTTTTGTCCAGTCTCTATTGGATTATGGCATATTCCAGGAGCTCTGAATCTTGTGGTAGTAAAATAAATGTACCACCTCGCATGATGGGCGAATGTTTTGGCACGGAAGTTTTTGTCTCATGTAGCTATTGTTGATGCTAAGTTGTGTCTACCAGCTTCATATGCCCCGTAGACATCCTTAATTTCTGGACTTAATAGTGTGGGATACACTTACTTTGGGGCGGGGTTGCTTTTATCTTCACTCTGTAGAAGGGACAAGTCGAATGATGCTTGATCTACTTGCTTATCAGTTGTTGTTCTTCTTTTGGTGGAATTCATGTTCACGGTACCTGCCTTTTTTGTTGCATCTGTGGATGTCAATCCCTTCTAATAATGTGACGGATAATAAATTTTGCAGTTTGATCAGCGACAGAAATCAATGGGTCTTCCTACAAGTGATGAGGTGCAAAAGCAGGAGATCCTAAAGAAATTTATGGCTGAGGTACTTCATGACACCTTGTATTTTTTGTCTTGCCGCCCTCCCTTGCAAAGTATTCATATTAACTGATTTTGTTCGATGGTCTTTTGCAGCATCCAGAAATGGACTTCTCTAGGGCAAAGATGTCCTGATTCACAGAGTTTTTGCTTAGTGATCATATTTCTGAATGTCAAAAGAAGATAGATCATTTTCTGGCATCTCTTTAGTTTGGCTGGGATTCAAGATGTTTTTGTGCATATGGGAAGCCTATATTCTATAGTGACTTTTGGGTAGTCTCAGGAAGTAATTACTTATATACTACTGTGGAGTAATTGATTACAAAACAGTAAACATCTCTGAACATCTTTATGTTCTATCAATGCTGCCTGCTTCTATGCTTATTATCTGTGCTTGTTTAACTTTTGTTTTCTGCCGTGTTTCATGTTGAATTTTCCCTGCACTCTATTGGAATTGGTGTCTTGTCCCAGGAAACATCCTCAGACTACTAGGTCTGTCCGTATTTCAGCAATTTATCAGTCCTGATGAAAGAAAGAAGCAACTTATCACCCAATTGCCTCTGACAATCAGAGACTGAACAGAGCATTGTTATTGCATTTATATTTGGTTTGATACATGTCGCTCCAAATTGTGAACACTGTGGGGCTGGTGTGCCACGGTGGAGTGGACACAAGCTAGATATAATTCTTATATGGATTTTGGGATCAGTCTCAAATTTCATGCTCTTGGTATTTACCAATGTAATTACCCCTGAATTTTTCAGTTCTCTTTCATACTTTGAACTATCTGGTAATGTGATGCTTAGGAGCACATCATATTATAATCATTACATGCAAGATCAGTGAACATCAGATATTCCATTGTGATATCAATTATAGTAGGTTGAAGAAACCAAGAAACTTTTTAGCCAACTGGACTTCCTAATGTTTTCACAAAAAGTTGTTAATTTTCTTTGAGTTAACTCTCTTTAAGTGCCCATATCAAGTTCTCGCCTTGGCACCATGTTGATCTCCTTGTATATCATATTTTTGCCCTGTCCATTTCTCCCGCTCTCTACTCCAGTGTTATTGGATGCTCCATTACCTCCTACTATGGGTGGTTTGCTGCAGTTTTTGCTGCAGTTTTTTCAATATGTGTGTGTTTCCTAAGATTGCCCCCCCTTCCCCCTTCCCTCCTCTTCTCTCTGTGCTATAGCTAAAAGGTTTTATTCATGTAACATTAAGGGTGGCATGTGGGTCGGGTCCGGTCCTAAGTGGGTTTCGTGGGCCCGGTCCTAAGTGGGTCTGGGCTTTGCGGGCTTTTTGTTGGAACCGGCCCGGGACTGGGACCACGAACTAATGGTCCCGGGTTAAGTGGGCCCAACTGATATTTTCTATTTTGTTTTTAAATTTTATAGAAGTTAGAGAAAAAAATGGTAATAAAAATATCTAAGGCAATTCCTTGTAAATTATATTATAGAATTGTGACCTAAATTTTTTAATTCAAATTTAAAGATAAAAATATTTTAAGAGATATTCAAAGCAATGCGTTATAATTTTATTATAACATTAAAAAAATATGGCAATATCTTTCTTAGTCTTCCTCCCCCTATGGAATGAGCACAACAAGGTACTAATACCACCATTGAGAAGAAAAAAAAACTAATCAAGATGTGCCAAAATACAAGTTACATATTAATTTTTGTTCATATAAGTTACATGGTATCTCTTACAAATTTCATAAATCCTTCAAGGTCCGGAGGAATTTTCGTTGGTGGTGGCGAAAAAGAAGCTTGGTCATCACCGCTTCCGAGCGAAGCAGCATCCTCCGCAAGTTCAACTAGCATTTCTTCGTAAGCTTCGTCTACCTCTAGTTGTGATTCAGCAAGTCCAAAATTTCTTCTTTTCGAATGGATCCAATCTCTGAAACGTACTAATTTTTCCAAGCTCTCCCTCATAGACGCTCTATAATCATCGAGTTGAAGTCTTACTTGACTGAAAGCGCTCTCTGATGCCACTGTTGAAGCTTGAATAGTTAAAATGTCTCGCGCCATCCTTGAAAGAATCAAAAAGTATTTTTCTTTGTAGCCGTCGGGATTCACTTCCTCAATTTTCTGTGACAAATAAACTTCAAGCTCATTTAGTTATGAAAAATCACTAGTACTAGAACCTTGAGAACCCTTGAACCCCGCCCAAGCACTAAGTGCTCTTACTCCCGCAGTTCTTTTAGATGATTGAAAACTAGAAGAAGAAGGAGTTGGAACATTTGGTCTAGCATTATCTAATACAACTTGATAAGCATTATAAATAGTTTGAACATTTATTTTAATTGAGGATATTGCGTCCGGAAGTTTAGACAACTCCTCATCTTCAAGTGTTAAACCATTATAAACAGTTTCATACCAAAATTGAGGACCTCCTAATTTCATAGTATGATTTAACAATGCAGCAATACCATAAATAAGGAGAATAGGGAAAAAATATTTTTTAAACTTTTTTTTTCATAGAATCAATAGCAAGTTGATAAATTTCCCCACCCTCTGAAAAATGATCAAACAAATTTGTAAGTTCTGCAATATAAACTAAACAGTTAGAAATAGTAGGATAATATTGCCCAGAAAATTCATTTGTAGCAATATAAAATTTTTCTAAAAAATCTACAAGCATTTTAACATTAGCTCAATCCGCATTTGTAAGGTGCTCATCATCATCACTTACATGAGCATTAAACGTTGAGTTTATGGGGTTTCTATATTCATATGCAACAACTAAACTTTCATACATGTAATTCCTTCTAGTTGGACAAGGTTTAGGAACCTTTCTTTCTCTTGGGCCAAATTTATCGCATCTTTTAAAATATTCTCTAAGTCTACTTCTACGGTTTGAATAAAAAGCCAATTAATAGCCATTTTAACCTTTTTAATTTAGACATTTAAAATTCGCATACCATCACCCACAATTAAATGGTAAATATGACAAATACATCTAACATGAAAAATGTTACTAAATGCAGGACTTAGTGTAGTGGTAAGCAAGGCTACATCATTTGTGTTACTAGTAACATTATTGTTATATCCCGTACTTTAATACTAGGATGAGTCGTAGTAATCCATATGTGCTTGAAGGGATTAAGACCATTAATGGGGTTATAAAGGATTTGTGACTATGTTATTGTAAGTTTAACAACCTTGATACCGTTATATACATTTGAAATTGTATTTTGAGTGGAACATTTTTGTAAAATAAGGTTTGAAAAATATGATTTTATATAGTTATTAATATCACTACTTTCGAATATGCTTTAAATTATACACAGAATATGAGAAAGTTTATGAGATTTTTTTTATTGTAAAAATATAAATTATTTTCTCACAAGAAAAGAAGGTTATCTTTTTATCATTTTAAGAATTAAGCGTACGAAAATTTGTACTCTTTATATGAGATTAGGAAAATTAGAAGTTGAGAAAATATATGTATTTTTACATAGATGTTTTAATGGAATAATAGTGTATGTATTGATTTTATATGGTACCATAATTTATTAATATTTTAATACTTTAATAGTAATATTTTAACTAATTTGAGACAATTCTTAATTATGCGGGTAATTGGTTAATTACCGGATAACGGGACATTACCTNTAACACAATTTCTTGCCACCGATTCATACAAACATTATTATTTTCTAATCAATATTCTTGGAAGTGTAGTTTTTGTGCTGGACCATAGGGCATCACACAATAAGTTTTCCTTGGAGCTTTGCCTTATTCAAAAGGCAAGCCATTTGAGGCCTTTCTTTAAGCTTTTGATGAGGTCATGTGTCTTTTCTTTCTTTCAGATGTACCTTTATTCTATACAGTAGTTATAATCTACTTATGTGTTATATTCCGTACTTTTCTACAGAGGATTTATGATTGTAACACCCCATAAGTTTAACAATCTTGATACCGTTAGATACATTTTGATATGGTATTTATATTGAGTGGAACATTTTTGTAAAAAGTTTTAAAAATATGATTTTATATAGTTATTAATATTACTACTTTCGAATATATCTTAAATTATACACATAATATAAGAAAGTTTATGATATTTTCTTTATTGTAAAGATAGAAATTGTTTTCTCATAAGAAAAGAAGGTTATCTTTTTACCATTTTAAGAATTAAGCGTACGGGAATTTTTACTCTTTATATGAGATTAGGAAAATTATAGGTTGAGAAAATATATATATTTTTACATGGATATTTTAATAAAATAATAGTGTATGTATTTATTTTATATGGTACCATATGTCCATGATAGTGTAATGTATAAAGTGGGTTAAAAGTGAGTAGTATTTTAAGTAATTTGAGATAATTTTAATTACATGGGTAATTGGTTAATTATCGGGTATCGGGACATTACCTAACTACCTAATAAGTGGATAAAGATTAAATTTCCCACCCTCACCCCCACATGGCAGCAAGCCAATTCTTGGACAATGACTCTTAGTCATTTTGGTTAGGTGGCAAAATGACTACAAAACACTTCAGTTTCTATATATCTTGAATACAAGACACTATAACCAAAATTCCTACAATTTCTTATACACCCTACAATCAGAAGTGAGAAGTTAGCAATTCTTATAAGTTTGTGATTAGGTGATAACGTGATTTGTGATTCTTATAAGTCTTATAGGTCATTTGTGATTAGATCAGAACGTTAACAATTTATCACTTCCTACAAATTTTCAACAAAACTTCTTGCAACCAAATAATTCCAACGAGAATTATTAGCACATTAGTAACGTGAGATTTTGCGATTCTAAAGAAGTACGGTGCAACCTTTTCCAAGAACAACATATAGATTTCTCCCTACTCCACGTATGTTAAGGCTAATCCTTCTTTATTTTGGCATGATTCAAGTAACGAGACGTAAACGTAATGCTATTCCATAAGTGGTTCTACTCTTAGCAGTTAAGGATATCTACGTTATTCAGTTCCATTATTTACGTGAATCTCTTCTTAGTCCTTGTGAGCGGATAGTCTACTCAGCCATCTTTTCAAGACTGAATTATACTTCAATAGTTGAATAAGTATTGCATTGCAAGTAAGGGTGTCATTACTTTATTAGGCGATATTAAAAGATAACAACTGTCTACATGTAAATGTAATGTTTCTGCCAAAGAATGTTGCCAAAGATAAAAGCTTGTTCTTTATCCTTGCATTTTACTTTTTATGACTGAAGCTTTTAGAGCCAGTGAGATTGTTGGCAAAAAGTAAGTAAAAGTAACTCTGCTTCAAGTTGTGTATGGTATATGATAGAGAAGTTAATGTTTATAATATAGTGATACATGTACATGCATTTTCATGCGTTTACCACCGTGCTACGACCGGTCGGGCAGTTACCACCGGTTGGGCAGTTATGTATCATTATTTACCAC